GATAAACAGTGACTGCTGACACCCATAAAATTTTGTAGTCGCAATCGCTCCCTGATTCACCGTTCTCTCAGCTTCTGGGGTGCAACTCCTTCAGCTCTTTAAATCTTTTAGTAAGTCTTAATTTGTGGATTTTGTTATTCGACTGTCCCGAATCAACACACACACACACACACACACACACACAACACACACACACAACACAAAACACACACACACACCACACACACACCCCCCCTCCACAGCGATTTTAGTGGGGGCCCAGGATCCTTTACATAGTTTTAAGCAGAGGTATGATAAAGCTCACGGTTCAGGAGAGTGACCTACTAGCGACCAGTGAAGAGGGGGGGCCAGGAGCTAGGACTCGACCCTTTGTAACCTCAACTGGGTGAGTACAACTAGGTGAGTCAACACACACACACACCACACATAAAATCTTTTTCCTTCTTTCTTTCAACAAACCGGCCTTTATCCCACCGAGGCAGGGGGGCCCCAAAAAGAAAAACAAAAGTTGCTCTTTTCAAATTTAGTAATTTATACGGGAGAAGGGTTACTAGCCCCTTGCTCCCGGCATTTTAGTGCCTCTTACAAACACAGGGCTTACGGAGGAAGAATTCTTTTCCCCACTTCCCCATGGAGATAAGGGGAAAATAAACAAGAAAAGAACTAGGAAGAAAATAGAAGAAACCCGAGGGGTGTGTATATATATGCTTGTACATGTATGTGTAGTGTGACCTAAGTGTAAGTTGAAGTAGCAAGCTACCTGAAATCTTGCATGTTTATGAGACAGACAAAAGACACCAGCAATCCTACCATCATGTAAAACAATTACAGGCTTTCATTTTACACTCACCTTTGGGAGGACGGTAGTACCTCCCTGGGTGGTTGCTGTCTACAACCCACTACCTTTGAACACACACACACACACACACACAAAACACACACTCACACACACACACACACACACACACACACACCACACAACAAAACACACACACACACAACTCACACACACACACACACCACACAACACACACAAATATATAATATATATATAAAATATATATAATATTATTATATATATGTCGTGCAGAATAGGCAGAACTTGCGATCTTGGCTTAAATAGCAAAGTTCATCTTGCCATATAGGACAAGCGAAATTTGTGTATGCAATAATTTCGCCAAAATCATTCTGAACCTAACGAAAAAAGTATATTTCACTGTGTTTGTTTGTATTAAATTATTGTAAACAAAACTAAAATATACACAAATAAACCGCACATAAAGAGAGAAGCTTACGACGACGTTTCGGTCCGACTTGGACCATTGACAAAGTCACACTAACCAGAAGTGGAGCAGGACGGCTATATATAGGCAGGAAGAGGGGGGGGTGGTAGTAGTTGTATGTATAGTAGTAGTGAGTACAAGAATGGTATATAATACCGACAAGATGAAATTAAGACACATGCGCAACACCCGGCATCCCTATCGTAGACGTTTCGCCGCCAGCCAGCCACTGGATGGCGAAACGTCCACAACAAAGACAACCAGACGCCGCACATGTGTTTTTAATTTCATCAATGGTCCAAATCGGACCGAAACGTCGTCGTAAGTTCTCTCTTTATGTGCGGGTTATTTGTGTATTGTTCCAGTCACGGTATTGTGCATTTTTTGTTATTTGTAAATCTAAAATATATTTAGTTTGGTTAGGCTAAAATAAATTGTTCTTGTTATAATAAGGTTAGGTAAGTTTTCTAAGATTCTTTTTGGGGCAAAATTAAAATTTTTTTACATTAATATTAATGAAAAAAGTATATTTTTAAACGTATAAAGAGAAAATTTTAGAAAGGTCTTAATTTTAAATGAGTTCTTGCTAATTGACCAGTTTTAATACTCGGCACAACATATATATATTTATAAAATAATATTTAAATATTAATATTATATATATATAAAATATATATATAATAATAATTTAAATAGTGGCTTTCATCAATACAAGAATGATGTGAAGAATGTAGAATATATATATATTATCTGCTTTCACCGCAACGTGAAAGCATCGACAAGAGTTATGTGTGACCGCTGTGACATGTAACAGATCCAGGATTATGTACCTGCGCCACCTGTGTTATGTAACCGATGTAACTACCGCATCTGAAGCTCTCACGGCCAACACCCAGCATCTTCTTTGTTATGAAACCCCGGAACAATTTCAGCACTCATCTGCCTTGTTTAACAGATCCAAAAGAGGCGTCCTTCCCCAGACTCCTCCCCAATCTCACGAATAGGAGATTTCACTCACCTGGGTATCCGAGCTGAGCCCTGAGGCCCCCCCAGGCTACCAGAGCATGAGACGAAACCCTCTTTGGCTACCATGTCGGTAGAGGACGCAGCACGGAGTATTACCTGTCAACACTGATGGCAACCTGCAGGAACCCGCTGAGGAAGACGGCCGAAGGTCCTGAAGAAGGCAGGATGCGGCAGGCTAAATCTCCAGCCTCCCAGGACACGTCCACGCACCACCCGATCGAACCACCCACAAATAATAATAATAATAATTATTAATTATAATAATATTAATATAATAATAATAATAATAATAATAATAATAATAATATAAAAATTATAATAATAAGAATAGTAGTAGAAAAGAAGAAGGAAGTAGAGAAGAAGAAGAAGAAATAAGGAAAAAGTTCAATAAATATAAAAAAAAAATAGTGAAAAACTACTAAAAATTCCCATACACAAAAAATGGAAATAAAAATTACAAAAAAAGAGAGAAAAAAATTATTACAAAAAGAAAAGAGTAAAACGAAAAAATACTAAAGTCTTGGTATATATTAAATTAAAATGAAACATAAAAAAATATTTAGAAAAGTAAAAATTCTTTCATATATATATATATATAATTTTATATTTTATATTTATATATATATATATATATATATAGATATATATATATATATATATATATTAGGGAGGTACCACCTCTAGAACTGTCCTAGGGGGACATCAATCTCAGAGAAAAAGAATTTAAACTTGCTTCAGGGAAAACTCTAGGTTCTACTGAAGCTGTTTGAGAATTTCTCCTTTCCACCCCCTATATTCAAGTATGTTTTATTTAAAGACAAATACATTTGGCCCATAACATTCTCAAAAATACAACAGAAAGTAAAACATCATAGGTAACTCAGAGCTACATCTCGAATACTTCGTACAGCTCCCCTGCGGTGGGCCAGACGTACCAGAATGATGCATGAGTGGGTGCATGAGGAGTCTGGGAGAATAAAGAACTTTATCCATGAAGCAAAGAAAAGAGGGGAAAGAGGAATTTATAAGTGTATAGTTATACAAACGCTCTTAGGTGGGTGAGGAAGCATGGGTGGGGAAGCGAATGTTTGCAACAAGGAGAAGAAGCGCTGGAGGTAGTGGAGATGTCATGTCTGAGGGCAATGTATCGGTGTGAACTAAGTGCAGAGAATTCTTGGTTTGAAATTGGGGCGAAGGTACAGGGATTACCAAAACATTATCAGAGGGCTGAGGAAGGGTTGCGGTGGTTCGGACACGTAGAGAGGATGGAACAAAATAGGATGACCTTCGTCAGGGTGTTAAATCTGTAATAGAGGAGGTGGGGTTAGGGGTCGTCTAAGAAAAGTTGGAGGGAGGGGTGTAAAGGAGAGGGGGTTTTGTGTGCGAGTGTGAGGGCTTGGACTTCACAGCAGCCATGCAGTGAGCGTGGTTAGATAGGAGCGATATTGGAGACAAATGGCTTCTAGAGACTTGGACGTGCTGGGGAGTGGTGTGAGCAAGGCCAAACATTTTGAAGGGATTCAGGGGAAACGGCAGGTTGAACTTGAGGTCCTTGGAGATGAAGCAAGATACAGTGTCTGCACTCTGAAGGACGGGTGTTAATTGGTGCAGTTTTATAATTGGAAGTTGTGGCGAACCTCTGGCAAGAACAGTGATGGTGTGATGTGGTGAAAGTTTTTCTTCTCCGAGCAGCCCTGCCTTGCATGGGGAAAACAGCCGATATGACTGAGGGCTGTAGTGGGTGATGTAATGCTCGAGGGGTCTGCTTATGTGTGTGTGTGTGTATGTATTCAATCATTTGCTGTTTGCATGGGGACCAATTCATAGCTCTGGTCCCCCGTATTTGTGAGTGTGTTGAAACATTTTCTCTTGTCCCCTGCATCTTAACTATCTCCAAAATTACTCGAATTTTTTTTGTCCTTATCTGCATTCTCAGTACCTCAATTCTCCCTCCCTCCTCACCTCCTCCCCTACTTCCTCCTCTCCTCCTACCTCCTTACTTCCTCCTCCTCATACTCTCCTCCTATCTTCCTCTTCTTTCTCTTCCTCCTCCTCCTCCTTTTCCTCCTCCTCCCCCTTCTTCCGCATCATATACTTCAGATTTGCGAATGACGGGTGTATACGGACTCACAATACAAATATTTACTGTGTTCTGACCTCAATTGTTACCTGTGTAGTGTTTTAAAATGTTGTCTTTATCTCGGTGTTTCTCCCATCAGTATGTCTCAATAATATCTAAATGATAATACCTATGTCTAAATATTATTTATACTTTTCTAAAATTATCATATCTTTTTATAATTATCATTACTATGTTTTATATTATCTTACTTATTTCTAAATTATGATACCTATGTCTAAATAATCATTCCGGTGTCTAAATTATCATACCTATGTGAGAATTTTCTTACTATGTCAGAATTATTTACCATATGGCCAGAATATCTTCACTGACATAATAACAATATATATTGTTATTAATATTTCTTAACAACCAAGACACACTAAACACACACACCACACACACACACTAACCAAACACACACATACACAAACACACACACACCCACACACACACGTAAAAGAAACTCAGAGAAAGGGTAAGGTTTGCAACAAGAATAGTCCCAGAGCTAAGAGGTATCTCCTACGGGAGAGGTTAGGGATCTCTAACTGACGACGCTGGAGGACAGGTGAGATTGGGGGGACATGTTAACGACATACAATATACCTGAGAGGAATTGACAAGGTGGACAAAGACAGGATGTTCCAAGAGATGGGACACAGCAACAAGGGGACACAGTTGGAAGTTGATGAGAGACACGATGAATCACAGGATGTTAGGAAGTATTCTTCAGCCTCAGAGTAGTAGGACAGTGAAAATTGTTTGGATGGCGATGTAGTGGTGGCAGGATACCTTACAGTAGATTAGCGAGGTATGATAAAGCTCACGACCAGTTGAAGAGGCAGGGCCAGGAGCTGGACTCGACCCCTGCACCCAACTAGATGAATACCACACAACCCCTCCCCAAACATACTCACCCAGAGACTCATAAATATTATTAGGAGTCCAACATAGAAGATAAACAGTGACTATAATAAGAGTCGGTTGTAAAAGTCATATCTTGGTCCACGACCCTCGGGAAGGTCCGGTCGTCACTGTCCTCCACTCAGCTCCCTCACGGAGACACCTGCAACACACGTCGTAAACAAGAGTCGTTAAGCTGTTGTTAATCGTGCAGTTGTTTTCCGTCCCTCTGAAAGATAATAACTAAGGTTAATAAAAGTAAATAATACTTTTAATAAACGTAGTAATGGTAGTCATGATAACTGTAGTACTAGTAGTATGATAACTGTCGGTACTGGTAGTATGTTAACGTAGTACTGGAGTCATGATAACTTGTAGTACTGGTAGGTCATGATAAACTGTAGTACTGGTAGTCTTGTATAACTCGTAGTACTGGGCAGTCATGATAAACTGTTGTATTGGTAGTCATGATAACTGTAGTAATGGTTTTTCATGTTAACTGTTTTAGTTTCGGTAGTCCTTGATATAATGTCAGTACTGGCGTCATGATATCTGTAGTACTGGTAGTCTGATAACTGTGTTATGGTAGTCATGTTAACTGTAGACTGGTAGTCATGATAACTGTTTATTCTGGTAGTCATGATAAACTGTTGTACTGGTAGTCAATGATACTGTGGTACTGGTAGTCATGATTAACTGTAGTGCTGTTTGTCATTGAAACTGTAATACTGGTACATCCGGTAACTGTGGTACTGGTAGTCTTGATAACTGTGGTACTGGTAGTCATGATAACTGTTGTAAACTGGTTAGTATTGATAACTGTAGTACTGGTAGTCATGATAACTGTAGTTCTGGTAGTCATGATAACTGTGGTTCTGGTAGTCATGATAACTGTGTAGTACTGGCAGTTCATGATAACTGTGGTAATGGGTAGTCATGATAACTGTAGTTAATGGCCTGGTCATGATAAATGTAGTACTGGTAGTCTTGACAACTGTAGCACTGTTAGTCATGATAAACTGTTAGGTAGTACTGGTAGTCAATGATAACTGTACGAGTACCCTGGCGTCATTGAAAACTGTAGTACTGGTAGTCATGATAACTGTAGTAATGGTTGTCATGATATACTGATAGTAATGGTAGTCATGATAAACTGTAGTAATGGCGATTCATGATAACTGTAGTACTGGTAGTCATGATAACTGTAGTTACTGGTAGTCATGATAACTGTAGTAATGTAGTCCAATGATATCTGTAAGTACTGGTAGTCATGTTAACTGTAGTTACTGGTTAGTCATGAGAACTGTGGTACTGGTGGTCTGATTAACTGTGTCTGTTTGTCATGATAACTGTAGTACTGGTAGTCATGGTAAACTGTGTGGTACTGCGGTAGTAATGATAGCTGTGGTACTGGTTAGTCATGATAACTGTAGTACTGGTAGGTCCATTTGATAAATGTAGTCTGGTAGTCATGATAACTGTAGTACAGGAAGTCATGAATAACTGTGGTTATGGTAGTCATGATAACTGTAGTACTGGCAGTATGATGAAACTGTGGTACTTGGTAGTCATGATAACTGTAGTACTGGCAAGTCATGTGTATATTGGAGTACTGGTTGTCATGGACAACTGTAGCACTGGTAGTCATGTTAACTGTAGGTACTGGTAGTCTTGATTAACTGTAAGTACTGGTAGTCTTGATAAACTGTAGTACTGGTAATACGATGATTAACTTTAGGTACGGGTAGACTTGATATACGTAGTTCTGGTATTCAGATAACTGTAGTACTGGTAGTCAGGATAACTGGAGTACTGGTAGTCATTATAACATGTGGTACTGGTTAGTCATGATAACTGTTTGTACTGGCTGTCTTGATAACTGTGGTACTGGTAGTCTCATAAAACGGTAGTACTGGCCAGTCATGATAACTGTAGTACTGGGTAGTCATGACAAACTGTAGTTAATGGTATGGGTGATAACTGTAAGTACTGGTTGTCATGATATACTGTGGTACTGGTAGTCATGATAACATGTTAGTTCTGGCAGTCTGATAACTGTAGTACTGGTTAGTCATGATAACTGTAGTACTGGTTAGTCATGATAACTGTTAGTACTGGTGTCATGATAACTGTGGCTATGGTTGTCATGTTAACTGTAGTACTGGTGGTTCATGATGTTAACTGTAGTATGGTAGTCATGACAACTGTCGTACTGTAGTCATGATAACTGTAGTTACCTGGGAGTCATGATAACTGTAGTACTGGTAGTCATGATAACTATAGTACTGGTAGTCATGATACTTTGGTACTGGTAGTATGATAACGTGTTAGTACTGGTAGTCAATGATAACTGTAGTACTGGTAGTCTGAAAACTGTAGTACTGTTAGTCATGGACAACTGTATAGTACTGGTAGTCATGATACTGTAGTGATAGGTAGTCATGATATACTGTAGTACTGGTAGGGGGTGATCAAACTTGTAGTACTGGTAGTAATGATACTGTAGGTACTGTAGTCTTGATAACTGTTAGTACTGGTAGGGGTTGATAAACTGTAGTAATGGTAGGGATGTTAACTGTAGTACTGGTACACCGGTAGTCATGATTAACTGTTAGTACTGGTAGTCATGATAACTGTAGTACTGGAAGTCATGATAACTGTAGTAATGGTAGTCATGTTGTATACCCACACCCATGTTGTACTGGTAATCATGATACTGTAGTACTTTTTATTTTGATAACTGTTGCAGTACTGGTAGTCATCATAACTGTAGTCTTGGTAGTCATTAATAAAACTGTCTGAGTACTGGTTAATCATGATAACTGTAGTACTTTTATCCATGACAACTGTAGTACTGTAGTCATTGAAACCTGTAGTACTGGTAGTTTGACAACTGTTAGTACTGGTAATCATGACAACTGTACTTGGTACTCATGATAACTGTAGTTCCTGGTAATCATGAAACTGTAGTACTGGTGTCATGATAACTGTGGTACTAGTAGTCATGACAAATGTAGTAGGGTAGTCATGATAGCTGTAGTAATGGCTGACAACGGTAGTACTGGTAGTCATGACATCTGTTAGTTACTGGTAGTCATGACAACTGTAGTAATGGTAGTCATGATAACTGTAGTACTGGTAGTCATGACATCTGTGAGTACTGGTAGTCATGACTAACTGGTAGTACTGGTAGTCATGACCAAACTGTAGTATGGTAGTTTGATAACTGTGGTATGGTAATCATGACAATGTAGTATCTGGTAGTCATGATAACTGTGGTACTAGTTAGTCATGAAACTGTAGTACTGGTTAGTATGATAGCTGTGTAATGGTAGTCATGACAACTGTAGTACTGGTAGTCATGATAACTGTAGTACGGTTGTAATTGACAACTGTAGTACTGGTAGGCCATGACAACTGTAGTACTGGTAGTTCATGGACAACTGTAGTAGTACTGGACTCAGTTACTGTAGTACTGGTAGTCATGACAACTGTAGTACAGGTAGTCATGATAACTGTCGTACTGGTAGTACATGATATCTGTAGTACTGGTAATATGTGATTACTGGTGTACTGGTAGTCATGACAACTGTAGTTTTGGTAGTCATGACAACGTGTAGTAATCGGTAATCATGACAACTGTAGACTGGGAGTCATGCAACTGTGTTCTGGTAATCAGGACAACGTTGTACTGGTTAATCATGACACAACTGTAGTACTGGTAATCATGACAAACTGTCAGTCTGGTTGTCATGATAACTGTAGTTATGGTATATTGACAACTGTAAGTATGGTAATAATGACAATGTAGTACTGGTAGTCACTGATAAACTGTAGCTACTGCGTAATCATGACAACTGTTTAGTACTGGTAATCATGGGTACCAAAAACTTGTAGTACTGGTATGTTAATAACTTTAGTACTGGTAATCATGACAACTGTAGTTCTGGCTGTCATGATAACTGTTAGTTACTGGTAGTCATGATAACCTGTGAATGGTAGTCATGATATATGTAGTACTGGTAATCTTGACAACTGTAGTATGGTAGTCATGATAACATGATAGTACTGGATAAATCATGACAATCTGTAGTACTGGTTGTCATGATACTGTTGTTATGGTAGTCATGATAACTGTAGTTAAGGGTAGTCATGATTCTGTAGTACTGTAATCATGAAACTGTAGTACTGGTTGTCATGATAACTGTAGTTACTGGTAGTCATGATAACTGTTGTACTGGTAGTCATGAACAAATGTAGGTACTGGCAGTCTTGATAGCTGTATACTGGTAGTCATGATAACTGTAGTATGGTAGTCATGATAACTGTAGTACTGGTTAGTCATGATAACTGTAGTACCGGTAGGTCTTGATAAACTGTAGTAATGGTAGTCTATGATAACTGGAGATTATACTTGGTTGTTCATGAAATCTGTAGTTCTGGTTGTATGATATGTGGTACTGTTAGTCATGATTACTGTAGATGTTAGTCATGTTATCTGTATATTAATGGTTAGTAATGGTAATGTGGTACTGGTAGTTCATGATAACTGTAGAGGTAGGTACTGGTAGTCTTGATAAAACTGTAGTATGGAGTCGACATGTTAACTGTTGTACTGGTAGTCATGATATCTGTAGTACTGGTAGTCATGTATAAACTGTGGTATCTGGTTGTCAGGATAACTGTAGTATGGAAAGTCATGATTAACTGTGTACTGGTAGTCAGATAACCTGTAGTACTGGCAGTCATGATAAAATGTAGTTACTGGTAGTCCATTGACAACTAGTAGCACCGGTAGTCATTGATAACTGTTGTACTGGTAGTAATGATAACTGTAGTACTGGCTGTCATGATAACTGTAGTACTGGTAGTCATGTATCTGTAGTACTGGTTAGTCATGATTATGTAGATACTGGTTGTCATGATAATTTAGTACTGGCAGTCATGATAAACTGTGGTAACTGGTAGTCATGATATCTGTAGTAAAGGTCGTCATGATAAATGTAGTACTGGTAGTCATGATGACTGTAGTACTGGTAGAAATGATAACTGTAGTATTGGTAGTCATTGATAACCTGTGGTTTCTGGTAGTCATGATAACTGTAGATACTGTTAGTCATTATAACTGTTAGTACTGGTAGGTCATGGTAACTGTGGTACTGGTAGTCATGATAGCTGTGGTACTGGTAGTCATGATAACTGTAGTACTGGTTGTCATGATAACTGTAGTATGTAGTCATGATTACAGTAGTAAGGTAGTCATGAATAACTGTATGGTACTGGAGCATGTTAACTGTAGTACTGGCAGTCATGATAACTGTGGTACTGGTAGTCATGATAAACTTGTTAGTACTGGCAGTCATGTAACTGTAAGTACTGGTAGTCATGAAGATGTAGCACTGGTAGTCATGATAACTGTAGTACTGGGGTATCATGATAACGGTAGTATGCCCCCCCCGGTAGTCATGTTAACTTAGTACTGGTATCATGATAACGTAGTACTGGTAGACATCGATAACTGTAGTACTGCTATTCATGATAACTGTCAGTATGGTCGTTTGATAACTGTGTGATGGTATTTAGTTCATGATAACTGTGGTACTGGATGTCATGATAACTGTAGTACTGGCAGTCATTGATAACTGTGGTATGGTAGTCATATACTGTAGTACTGGCTTTCATGATAACTGTAGTACTGGTAGTATGACAACTGTAGTACGGTAGGAGGTGATAACTGGTAGTTCATGGTAGTCATGGATTAATGTGGTACTGGTAGGTCATGTAACGTGTACTGGCAGTCATGATAACTGTGTACTGGTAGTCATGATAACGGTAGTACTGGTAGTTAGATAATGTGTAATGGTAGTCATGATAACTGTAGTACTGTAGTCATGATAAACTGTAGTACTGGGTAGTCTTGATAAATGTAGTAATGGTAGTTTCATGACAACTGTAGTTACTGGTAGTCATGATAACTGTATGTAACTGGTAGTCATCGATAACTGTTGTACTGGTTAGTCATGTTATCTGTAGTACTGGTAGTCATGATAACTGTGGTACTGGTAAGTCGTGATAACTGTAGTACTCGTAGTCATGATAACTGTACTTACTGGTATACATGACAACTGTAGTACTGGTAGTCATGGACAACTGTAGTACTGGGTCGTTCTTGATAACTGTAGTGATGGTAGTCATGATACTGTAGTGCTGAGTTGGAGGTGATACTGTAAGTAATGGTAGTCATGTTAACTGTAAAGTACTGGTAGGTCTTGACTAACGGTAAGTACTGGTAGGAGGTGATAACTGTAGTACTGGTAGGGATGATAACTGTAGTACTGGTAGTCATGATAACTCGATAGTACTGGTAGTCATGATTACTGTGTATCTGGAAGTCATGAAAAACTGTTAGTACTGGTAGATCATGATAAATGTAGTACTGGGTTAATCTATGATAACTGTAAGTCTTTTTATATCATGATAACTGTTGTACTGGTAGTCATGATAACTGTAGTAATGGTAGTCATAATACTGTGTACTGGTAATCATGATAACTGTAGTACTTTTAATCATGACAACTGTAGTCCTGGTATCATGATAAATCTGTAGTACTGGTAGTAATGACAACTGTTTGTATGGTAATCTTGACAACCTGTTACTTCTGGTAGTCATGATACTGTAGTACTGGTAATCATGACAACTGTAGTAATGGTAGTCATGATATTATGTGGTACTTGTAGTCATGACAAATGTTGTACTGGTAGTCTTGATAGCTGTAGTAATGGTCATGACACTGTAGTACGGGGAGTCATGAAACTGTAGTACTGGTAGTTCATGACAACTGTAGTACTGGGTAGTCATGATTAAACTGTAGTACTGGTAGTCATGAAACGTAGTACTGGTAGTCTGACAATTTAGTACTGGTTGTCATGACAAACTGTAGTACTGGTAGTTATGATAACCTGTGGTACTGGTAATCTTGACCAATCTTGTTGTACTGGTAGTCATGATATATGTGGTACTAGTTGTCAATGATAACTGTAGTACTGGTGAGTAATAGATAGCTGTAGTACTGGTTATCATGACCAACTGTAGTACTGTAGTCAGTAACTGTAGTATGGTAGTGCATGACAACAGTAGTACTGGTAGGTCATGACAACTGTTGGTTACTGTTAGTCATGACAACTGTTAGTACTGGTTACTCATGATAACTGTAGTACTGGTGTCATGACAACTGTAGAAATATGGTAGTCATGATATCTGTCGTACTGGTAGTAATGATAACTGTAGTACTGGTAAATCATGATAATGTAGTACTGGGTAGTCATGACAAAACTGTTAGTACTGGTATGTCATGAAACCTGTAGTACTGGTAATATTGACAATCTGTAGTACTGGTAGTCAGACAACTGTAGTAATGGTAATCATGACAAAGTGTAGTACTGGTTAATCATGACAACTCTGTAGTACTGGTAATCATGACCAACTGTAGTACTGGTAGGTCATGATAAACTGTAGTACTGGTAAATCATGACAAACTGTTAGTACTGGTAATCATGACAACTGTAGTACTGGTCAGTCATGATAACTGTAGTACAGGTTATTGACATCTGTAGTACTGGTAATCATGGACAATGTAGTACTGGTAAGTCTAATAACTTTAGGTATGGTAATCATGACAACTGTAGAAGTACGGCAGTCATGATAACTGTACCGTACTGGTAGTCATGTTAACTGTAGTACTGGTAGTCATGATAATGTAGTAATGGTAATTTCATGACAACATGTAGTACTGGTAGTCATGATAACTGTGTACTGGTAATCAGGACTACTGTAGTACTGGTAGTTCATGCGATAACTGTAGTACTGTAGGTCATGATA